GTTAAGAAAGATATTTTCCTTTGCATTATCAAGCTCCAGGTAGCTACTCTGAAACTTTGTAAGGCTAAAATCTGTTCAGGCAGCTTAATGCAAAGAATCACCCTGCAGTAAGTTTTAGCAATAGAGGAATACACCATGATGCACTATGGCATCCACAGACACCATAGTCATGGTATGTGGGCAAATGGATGACCAAAGTTCAGCATTTCTAAAACAACCATGCCATTCATATGAAAAGCACTTAGACATCAAGAGTCCACTAAAAAAATGGATGAATTAAGTTCTAGGGGTAAAAAGACTCATCAATTTGAAACAACTGAGGATAATGAAGCTTATTAACTGATCAAAGATAATGAACCACTTCCCACAGACACAATACAATGGTACAATGAAATTGATAAGTGTATGATACAATGCCCTTGTCAGGCCTTATTCTGAATACTGGGCACCATTTCTAGGCATCTGTACTCAAAGATGGACTGAAACAGAAATACACCCAAGCCACCCAAAAAGGATAATCAAAGCAATGAAAAACCTCTCTTCAGAGCAGATGGAAAGATTTTGGTGGTTTTAGTTCAGAGAAACAAAAACTAGGAGAAAAGATAACTGCTCTCAACAGTAGGGCAAATACCAAAGGCAGGAACAAGGACTTCTGAAGATAATCACACTGGCAGAAGAACAAAGAGGTATAGCCTCTTAGGCTATAGGAGATGAATAAATTTCAGCTGGATACAGAAGAAAATTTCCAAGCATTAGAGAAATGACATTCTGGACCAATACTGCAATTAAAGATAGAGCATGGTGCTAAACAAACTTTCTTTTAAAACAGTAATTAATAAGTTGAAGAATATAATTATCCAAACCAGTTGCTGTGACAGTAGCATTCCCTTCAGCTGTATCCTGAAGGTTCAGCAGGTGCAATTGATTCTATCTTTGATTAGAAAATGAACAGAGGTGCAGCTCAAAGCAGTGAGTAGGTTCCTGATTCAAAGTCTTTGCAGACACCATTAGAAAAACATCTATTTCAGTCATAGACAAAGGGAATAGTGAAGCAACTTGCCAGTCAGCCATTGCTACAGAAAAATCACACACAAGGTAACAATTTTGCAAGCTAGATAAGAACTAGAAGTAATTTTAAAAGAACAAATGTTAAAATAAGTTAATTTTCAATCTGAATTTCAGGTTGGGATTTGTTTTTATATATGTTCTTTAAGAAGATTGGTCAGAATACAACCAGATAAATACAATTCACTTTGGAAAGACTCATTAATGTAATTTTGAAAAATTGACCCCTCAACAGGAAAAAAACCTAAACTCAAACAGTTTCTCCAATGATGTACTGATAGTGATGTTCATCTTACAACACATATGTCAGGGTTTTCATATTCTTATCAGGCAGCAAACTTCAATAGTTCAATCAGTAAGCTAATTCTCATTTGACATCTGTTGATACTGCTTCAATCTGTGACTATTATGCATTTACTGGCAAACTTTATGATGGCAACAGCTTTTAAAACTGCACTTGAAATTAAAAGCTGATTCTTCTGTTCTTAAGGCAACAGTGCCATCTCGTGGGAAAATATTCAGCTCTGTGTCCTATGCTGGGCAAAGGAGTCCAGAGCCTTTCTTAGACAAACAATTCCTCAAGAAAATGAGATTTTATTTTTTTTTTTACCTAAGTTGATTCCATCAGGTTAACACATAAGCTTTCATCTAAAATGCCCACTAGCCCTTTCTAGTCATTCTGGTAAGGTTTCATAAGGTTTTTGCTCTGCTTCAAGGTGTTCTACAAACCACAGCCCCTGTCTGGGTACATGCCAAGGGAGAGCACAAGTCCTGCATCCTGCCAGGAGGGTCCCACGTGCAGGAGGGACAGCACCCAGCCGAACTGTAAGTAGTGCTACCCTGCATTGTCCAGCAAGACCAGCTGACCAAGTCCACGCTGTGAGTCCTTGGTTTTGCTGCACATTACACACACACACATGCACACAATAGCCAGTCACATCTTAACCCTGCTTCTCCTGGCAACATTTTTGGATTGTTTTATCTGATTTTGTGCCTCTTCTCCTTTTAATGGCTTTCCCCCTCAGTTTCTGCAGTCAAAACAAAAACATCTCACAGGCCAGAGAGCACCAGACACCTTCTTACACTTAAAATGCTGTCTGTCCTGCAGAGTGTAAACAATGAGGATGCATCTGATTTCTCCACAAGCAGTGGTCTTCTTTATTTCCATTTTAATAATGGGGGTTATGTTTGCCCTTTTCCAGTCTATGTGAACTTCATGGGATTACCATGACTTCTCAAACATGATGGATAGTGGCTTAGTCACTTCCTTGGCCAGTTCCTGTGGATGTTACTCACCAGATGCCAGGGACTTGTGCACCTTAAGGCTCATTTTCCTTCTACAGCAGACAGTTCTTTGTGGAATCTTGTCCTTCTAAGATCTTTACCTCAGATGCTTTTACAGAGGGTTTTGACCTCAGACTGCGGCAGACAGTATACTAAGGGGGGGCACCTAGTCAGGTCACAGTGGTAACAGTGGGTTCTTGGGAGTAGTATGCTAATAGAACCTTCCTATATTTGGTCAAGTTTAGTTTTCATTCTCCGTTGGTTCAGGACTTTTTTCTTATAAAGTCATGTTCTGAGTTCACCTTCCTGATTGGACCTGTGCCCCTACACCTGGCAGCGTTTGCCCTGCCCAAGGGGTCTTTGGAATCTAGTCTCTGTACCCTGCACCATGGTTGTTATTTTATTAAAGTTTTTATTTTCTGGAATATTCCATCATTCCCATTCCTCTTTATTAGCCGACTCCTCCCAGCTAACCCAAGTAGGTTTCACCTTCTACAACTTTGGCAATGTGGCTGGAGCACTTGCTGGTGGAGACTGAGGCAAAAAAGTCATTGAATACCTCAGTCTTCTCCATGTCCTGGGTAACTAGGTCTCCTGTGTTCTTCCTGACAGGACTCATATTTTTCCCTAGTCTTTCTTTTATCACTGATGCACCTGAAGGCACTTTTTTTGTTAAGTATTATGCCCTTGGCAAATTTACTTCTGCTGGTGCTTTTACTTTCCTTAACAGATCCTTGGCTTTTGGGACAATTTCTCTGTGTTTATCACAGGTTACCTTTCCCCATTTCCACCCTCTGTAAACTACCTGTTTAAGTTTGTTCGGGAGCTCCTTGTTCATCCATGTAGGTCTCCTGGTATTCTTCCCTGATTTTATCTTTGTAGAAAACATTGCTTTTCACCCTGGAGAGACAACCCTTGAATATCATGCTGCTCTCTTGGGCTGCTCTACCCTCCAGGGCTCAATCCCACAGCAGTCTATCAAGGAGATCCTTGAATAAACCGAAGTCTGTTTTCCTGAAGCGCTGGGTAGCAAGCTTGCTTCTCACTCTTCTCATTGACTCAAGGATCTCAAACTACACTTTGTGGTCACTGCAGCTCAAGCTGCCCTTGAGCTTCACATTCCCCACCAGCTGCTCCTTGTTGGTGTGAATAAGGTCCAGCATACATCTCCCCTCATTGGTTCCTCTGTCACTTGGAGAAGCTACCATCAGTGCACTTCTGGAACCTCCTGAACTGCCGGAGCCCTGCTGTGCTGTCTCTTTAATAGGTATAAGGGTGGTTGAAGTCTCTCACAAGGACCAGGGCTTGCAAACACGAGGCTGCTCCTACCTGTCTCTAATGGGCTTCGTTGACTCAGTCTTCTGGCCAGGTGGCCTCTAGCAGCTCTCCACTCGCTCCTGCCCTCCCTTTAATCCTTACCCATAAGCTCTCATTTATGCCCAGGCAGAGCTCCATGCACTCCAGCTGGTCGACAATACCATTTTGAGAGGACAATACCATTTGTCTCCCATGCCTTTCCCTCATAAAGTGCCTTTGCCTTTCCATTCCAGCCCTCCAGACACAGGAGCCATCCCACCACTTCTCAGAATGCCAATATGGACCGTAGCCCTGCAGGCTTGTGCATGTCTATAGTTTCTCCTGTTTACTTCCCATCCTACCTGCTTTTTTTATAATAGAGGATTTACGCTGGGCCCCTGGTGAAGCTGACTCTCTGCCTGCAATGGCTGGAATTCCTTGCTGCTATTCCTTCAGGTGTTCTCCACTGACCTGCACACCCTTTCCAGGCTCTGGTCATCTCTTTTTGGCTCAGAGAGCCAACCAGTACAAATGGGATTGGTATGTCACCCCACATCTTATCACTGTTAAATCTCTTCAGGTCTCTCCAATTTTTACCCTTAAAGCGCAATAAATGCCCACAATAAGAGTTAACTGGACAGGATTGTTTCACTGTATACACAACAATTACTGATATATCAATACAGTATGAAAGCCCATTAAGTGTGACACTGAAGAGGCCTCAATCAAATATTTCAAGTCTATAAATACTCAGTGGCACACTTTCAAAATACTTCTAGTATCAAACTACAAATATTTATTATAATAATTTATAAGTTAGAATGTATTTAAACAAGGACTATTACTGCCTTCCTAAAGGACACATGAACATTCATCCATAAATGTCAATTAAGCCCTGGGGATTGCTGGAGTTTTTGACTGTTCTATGCAACTTCTGCATTGTAGTTAGAAAATTCAGTTTATCACAAGGATGTATTAAAAGGTTGCTGTGTGAGACTGCCATATCCTGTGATCATTGCTATTTTCTAAAATTCTAAATTAAGCACCTATTAATTACATTGATTTCAAGTAACAGCTAATCTCAACACTCTGCAATATTCACCATATAGGTTATCTTAAACATCCTGTCAAGATAAACTGCATCATTTGGAATCTGAGGGAAGCAAACATTCTAGATGCAATAATTCTATCTCCATCTGCAAGATTACATCATAGGTTCCTGAGAGCTTTGCAAATTTTGCCAAATGATCCTGTATTGCATGGACTTTTTTTTTTTAAATCAAAAGGGTTTAATTTTTAAAATTATAAATAAGCCTTCTATAATTGTAAAAAAAACCACACTGAACACAAACTCCATTTGGAGTGACAATTGCCATTTGCATTATTGAGAGATTTAAGTATTTCTGAAAAGAAATGGCACCAGCAAAGTTGTTGAATCCAGATGTACTGCACTGCAGGAGGATGTTCAGTTAGCAGCGCCCTATGGAAGGAAAAGATACATTTCAGTGCAACTATATTTTCTAAATCTCTAAATTGGGCTGGCTTCAAGATAGGCACACATTCATACTGCCTGAAATCGCTCACTTCACTGCCACCACTTAGCCAATTCTTTGGAATTTGAAAGGCAGGAAGAACAGCAGTGTGCATCAGCAAACTCTCTCTTGTGTAGGGAAGGAAGCAAGTTTCACTGACTACAGCACTGGCCACAGTGAAGGCAACCAGCAGAGAGAAACCACGACAATGGTCCAAGTAGAGTGAAAAAACAAGCTTTCCTCCATGTAAGAAATCTCAGCCTTTTTCCACACATAAAAAAAGGGCTACCCAATTTAAGACTTCGGCAAGTATTTTAGAATTGGAGACATTCAACACGTTATTTTGTTCTTTTGTTCAATCGTTCAAGGGCTTAGTGTGAAAACCATGAATCACTAGGAACTAACATGCCCACTTACTTTTGACCCTCACTGTTGAAAGACTGCGGCTTCGAGGCACCTGCAAGACAAACAGAAAAGGAAAATCAGGTGTGCCAAGAACTGTAACCAGGAAAGCCACCTGGGGACCCATCAGCATTCAGAAAATCTGCACATCTATCAGTGCAGCTCTAATCTTACTAAGTCAAGTTCAACAATTTTCTAGTTTTTTTTCACAGCCTTCACACACACACAAAAAAGGGAGCCCTACACAAAGCCTCTCACATTTTCAATATTTTAAGTTGAGGGCACCTGAGTTTAAGTTGAGGGCACCTATATCCATTTAATAAGATTGGCTAACAATTAAAAAAATATACACATTTTTAACAGAAATAATTAAAAATGTTTTGTAACCATATGGTATGCAGAACTCCGCTAAAGTTTCACATATTTTATTTGTACCACCTTCCCTTCCTGCTCACCCTACACTTATTTTTTGCTCCCTTGATGCATTTAGTAAATTAGGAGTAAATTTAGGGTATTAATTCCAGGAGGCAGGAACTATGTGTTGTATATATACTCCAAAATGACTGAAACACTTGCAGATGATGCAATTATTTATTCAGAAGGTCACTAAAGCAAGGTCAGTAGGGGCAAAGCAATACAAGATACACAGTTGATACTTCTGGGAATTTAACTATAATCTACTTCTCATACAGTATCTCTACTGATCATTATACCAGGCAATAATTATCTGTCTGTTCAGCTTCACCTCATTCAAGACCATAAAGCAAAGGCACTTATCCCCAGTGTTAAAATGTACATGTGGCACATCAGAATTTTTAACAGGTTGTCTATGTTCCTAGTTAAAATATTTGATGCTGTTAACACTACAAACATTCAGCTGAGGCTTACTTGACCACACAGCAGAGGACGGCCACAGCTGCAGCTTCTGCTTCTAAGTCTGCATCTGCGAGGACACTACAAGAGAAAAGTTTGATAAACCTCTTAGGAGAGAGAAGGTTTAATAAAGACATATTCTGCAAGCAGACTTGACATGCTGGAGACAAGGTCTGAAGACAGAGAGGAAACAAAAGTAAGCTTTCTCCTTAGAACAGGCTCTGACAACCAGCATACATCTGCATAATTAATGCATTAAGGAAAAGGGAACTATTCAACCTATATACAGGATGAGGCACTAAAACCTAATTGATACTTTATATACTACTCCACCCATATAAGGAACAGTTAAAAACATATCTTTTTAAATTTTATAAACAGTGTTGAAATCCACTGACTTCCCTTAACATATTTCTTTAACAAAATACATACCGTAAATTTTTTTGTGACTACCTCTCCCTTCACAATTACAGTACCATCTTCTATCAGAGGAGGCCACACGTGATAGGCCACAAAGGGAGCTGTGAAATCTGAGTCAAAGCTACGATAGTACCTGTTGAAACAAACAGTACAAGAAATGTCTGCATATAAATGCCAAAAGATAAGTATGTTCCAAATCATCAATGCTGATAAAAAGTAGCTACAGCTATGATATGTTTCCACATCACAAAAATACATATTCTTTATGTGATCCTGTAAAAGAAATGGACTTGGAAGACAGACTTAGCAGAACATACTGTTTACTTATACTGACAGACATTCTAATAAAGCCATCTCACACTTCAGAAGGCAACTCGACCTTAATTTTTCCATAAGCCCCACACAAGCCAGGGCCTCTGTGTCCACTGACAGATTAAACCTTCTGAGCAGCAATTTGGCAGACACAGTCATCCCCTCTTCCTAGAATACTTGCTAGAACAAGCCCCCTTTAAGGATAAATAACACATTTGGCTTTATGGAGTCAAACTTAAAACAAATACAAAATAATAGAAATTGTATTAAAAGCAATGCATCTATACTTTAGTAATGTATTACAATAGCAAGTTATATAAAACAACGTCATAACCAGAGGCATGAAGCAAGGCATAGGGTACAACAATGTTTGGTTGGCCCTTTGTAGAATGCTATCACACATAATAAACAGATATTTTAATTTCTACAATTTTAATTTGCTCCATCTCTGTGTACCACATATACATGTTATACATGTAAACATACACATATGCCACATTTATCTAGCTAGATAGACAGATATGAGTATGTGTCTCCCACAGCAGCACACAAAAACACATTACATATGGTTTCTTAAGGCCATACACACCAAGTAGGTGGAGAAAGCATCTCAAGAGTATACCACAGTATTGGTGCTTCTTAATTTAGCCAACAGCTTTGAGTGTCAAAAGCTAACTGTCCTGTATTTGACTAGGATCATTGAGTAGTCCTGTATGATTTTGCACTCTCCTGTTGAGAGTCTACTTTCATCTTCTCTATTTCTCTCCTTGACTTCGCAAGCTCTTCACAACCCGAGTTCCATTCTATTCTAAATTATTACTAGAAACCGCCTTAGTGATGTAAGGTGCTTCACATTTTAGAGCAATTTTTTATGACTTATCAATCCCATTAATTTTCTTGACAACATGGAAGCACCCTACAGTTCTCTGTCTGCTAAAAAAGCAGCTTGACCCTACAGAAGAAAGAAAAATGATTAACAAAATTTCCATTTTTAAGAGGTAGTTTTGGTTTTGCCCAGCTCTAAACCAGAAGAGATGGGAGCATATGGGAGCATACAACTCGTATGTTGTACAGCAGCCACAGCCTGGAGGTTGCAGCAAAAATGTTGATGATCCTGGTAATGACACCAACTGCCAGATCTCAGTAAATATGACTTTTACAGAACAGGCCAGTAAGGAGGAACAAAGATGCAAACATTTTTAAAAAGACAGATAGAGACTAAACTGGGAAAACTGATGATTATTTGCTTCTTAAATGATAAATCAAATATGCTTTTGAGACTGAAATGTATCCAGAAAATTGCTCTGCTGTTCACTAAAAAAAAAATAACACTTGTGTACATGCTAGTATTTATACACTATCCTAAACCTTAAAGACATACCAAATTCACTACAGGCCAGGGGGTTTTGCCCCAAATTAATGTTTAGCAATCTTGAACTGCTATATTAATTAGGAAACAAGTAGACTACAAAATCTTTAATGGTAAGAGTCTGACTGAATATAAAAATTTCTTACATGTTCCTATTGAAGCATTCTCCATCAATACCAAAGGCAACATCAAGAGGAGGAATGAGTGTCTGCATTGAAAAAGCCAAACAGCACAACTCTCGAATCAAAGGGCTGATCACAATGAAATCAACTTGTCCTGGACATAGAAACTTTGGGTTCTTGTTCATGGTGCAAACTACTTCCTGCAAATAAACATACATGAGTAATTTGTACCCACTAACAATTTTATTCACAAGCAAGTATAGAAATCCCCCCCTAAATATGCCTCTCAGCTTTCCACATTTAAAAATCAGTATAAAAAGCTCACAGTAATGTTGCCTTGGACTATTCCAGAAAACAACAGCTTCAGAAAAAATGTGCTGCTACAAACAAATCAACCAAGCTATTACTAAGTCATACATATACTAGTCCCAGCACTATTGTTCTAGAAAGTAAACTGCTACAAGACAAAGTCCATCCAGTAACTCTTTTCTCCTTCAGGTTACAGTGCACTTCTAATTTACATATTCTGAATTTACTAGCTCCTGAAAGAGAACCCACGTCACTTCCCCACTGCCCTTGACTTACATGGACACTGCAACAAACATCATACAGATCCTTGTGGCAAGCTATATAATCCAGGACAGCAATTTCAAGTGACGAAGGTCCCCCTCTGTGACATACAGCCAAAGTGTCTTTTACATTTATTCTGACCTTCCAGAAGGCCATCTTTGCCGAACGGAAAGATTCCTGCAAACATAAAGAACATGTGGGGTACCTAGGTGGTTTCAAGGGACCCAATTAAATTAAAGAAGTACATAGCTACAAGCATAAGGAAAGCGTGATGCGGAAAGATTTTTAGCTTTGTAATGTCGTAGTATTTAATATAGCATTTCCAAAAGAATTTTTCTAACTAAGGCAATGTTGCTCACTGCAGATATCATCTACTTTTCAGACCAAATCAGTCTTCTTTTAGTACCTGTACAACAAATCATTGACTCTGTTCCAATCTGGGGACAGGTCAGGTAGGACACTACATTGAGAGTTCAATGTGGAAGTGTGAGGGGAAGAAAGAAAAATCAAATAAAAAAAGGAAGAAAGTTTTTCTGCACTTGACAGAAATGCTAATTTACCCACAATTTAATCCAGTGCAGACATAGTGTCTCACAACACACCTCCAGCCTGTAAATTAAGAAATAATATTTCTTTCTTACCACAGCTGCAATGTATAATATCCTATGTATGGTCTCCAAGTCACAGAAGTATTGCTTCAAGGTGGCCTCTGCCTCCAAGCGTTCTTTAGCATAAATGAAGTTATAGCGAGCTATGAGGCAGGCACGGTGTGAAGCGCTGCCCCGCCGGAGCCGGGGAGGTGAGCAGGGCCTCACGCAAAGGGCACGGCACTTGGGAGGACGGACACAGGGCCTCAGACGGCACGGTGGAGGAGAGCAGGGCCTCAGACGGCATGGAGAGACACAGGGCCTCAGACGGCATGGAGAGACACAGGGCCTCAGACGGCATGGAGAGACACAGGGTCTCAGACGACACGGTGGAGAGCAGCTCCTCACACGGCACGGTGGAGGAGAGCAGGCCCTCAGACGGCATGGAGGAGAGCAGGCCCTCAGACGGCACGGTGGAGAGCAGGCCCTCAGACGGCACGGTGGAGGAGAGCAGGCCCTCAGACGGCATGGAGGAGAGCAGGCCCTCAGACGGCACGGTGGAGAGCAGGCCCTCGGACGGCATGGAGGAGAGCAGGCCCTGACAGGGCACGGAGAGCAAGCCCTAACAGGGCACGGAGAGCAGGCCCTGACAGGGCATGGTGGAGAGCAGGCCCTGACAGGGCATGGAGAGCAAGCCCTAACAGGGCATGGAGAGCAAGCCCTGACAGGGCATGGAGGAGAGCAGGCCCTGACAGGGCACGGAGGAGAGCAGGCCCTGACACGGCACGGTGGAGAGCAGGCCCTGACACAGCATGGAGAGCAGGCCCTCAGACGGCATGGAGGAGAGATACAGGGCCTCAGACGGCACGGGCGAGGAGAGCAGGTCCGCGCAAGCCTACAACACATGTGCGAAGAAGCTTCATGTCACTTTACCATCCTCAGATGCTTTTCCCTAAGGCAGATTTCTTTGTCAATTTAATTTTTACAAGGATAATGTGAGATTTTGAGCCAAAGTGATTAAATAAGCCAAAGTGATTAAATAAGCTGGTTGGTCTAATATGAAGGCATTTTCATAATATGTTTTATGGGCTAAAGCATAAATGGTAAAAATAATTTGTAAAGCATATAAGGCCAAGCACTTTGTTCCTAGGAAACACACTTTTAACTAGTAATAATTTGGAGATTTGTTCCTCTTTCAGTAGCACTGAAGAGTATGGCTGAAGTCAAACAAGTGAAAATTGAACACTACAACTACAGGGCAGAATTCTTTAAAAGAGGACCCATCAACAAAAAAACTATTTCATACAGTTGCTCTCCATGTATTTTGTAAAGGTGCATTATTTCCTCTTTTGTCTGAAACCTAACATAGTTGCTTTAAAATAAAATAATTGGGCACTAGAACAAATCTTCTAAAGAGTTTACGTTCCTTCATAAGGAAGTAAAAAAGCTTGGCTTTTGTTTATATTTCAATTTAAATGATGAAGAAATTCATGCTACCTAACATGACCAAATTCTATGATTCAGTGACTTCTCTGAGTAAGGCCTCTACCTGCTCTGGATAAAAGACTTTTTGCAATCCAGCATAGCAATCTCATCCCGCAATTTTTCAATCTTCTGCTCATAGTTATCCAGTTGCTGTAACCTCCTTAAGCTGCACTGTTCGGCACGGGAAGCCTTCAGACTTAATCACACAGAACAGTCAGTCACAAGATGTCCTTCTACCAATGTAAACTATCTATCAATTAATCCTCAGCATCAAACAACAGGAGCATAAAAAAGAGGAAAATTATTGAGCAAGCTCCTTATGTTTGCTGAATAATTTCAGCATGCTTTCCTTATGCTGAAATACAGGAAAAATCCAGAGTTTAAAAACAAATGAAACAAAGGAGACCCTTGATCTTACTTTTAAATTGTATAAGTGTATTCTGGTAGGAAAGTGGATATAGTACTGTGTGCTATAGGAAAAATCAGTGGTTAACATTTGGTGTCCTTATGGTAGCTCAGATGATCAGGTCAGTAAAACAAACTAGTTTTTTTCTCATATTTAACATATTAACTAAACCATCTCAGTTTCCTTTCCTACAGATTAAGAATCTATATATTGTCTTCTGTCATGTTATTGGACTCTTTTCTTTGCTGTAATACATTAATCAGTCAAAAGATATCACAGATTTTAGTCAAGTAATACCAAAAGCTAACAATTCTTCTCCTACTGTCCCCAAAAGAAGGAGTGATTCTTAAAGACTGGCAGATAACCAGTGAAGTTTATCTTCTGTCCTTTACTCTTACTTAACATTAAAAACTATTCCAACATCTCTGCTTTCCCTCCAAACACCAGTATTACTGTTGCTTTTCTCTTAGCAAAAGTGGAAGGAAAGAAGAAAATATATTTTCTATTTATTTTGAAGGTATTCACTATGTCCTTCCTTTTCTTTACTGAAGGACCCTGGTGAGATTTTTGAGAATCTGAATCAACAAAATCTCTAACACTTATCAATTGACAGGATTCTTGTTCCACCTTTTTAAGGAACAAGCTGACTGAGATGACTACAGGTAATAAGGCCAGCAACATCTGCTTAAGAGGAAAGATGGCCCAGTTCCATCCTAAGTCAGCTCCTTCAGGAATGACTTCTAGCAGAACAGTAGAGAGCTAAAGAATTCTACTGTAAAGGACAACAGGGAAAGAAAACCAGATTTGGGAAGAGGAGCTCTAGAAATAGGAATGGGGAAAATCCAAACTGATATTATTGGAATCACTTAGCAAAGGCATGAAATTATAACACTTAATGTACTGACCCAAGACTTGTGAAATGTTCATTGTTCTCATGCTAATAGGATGCATGAGAATGTGCCACTTGGAGCTACCTCTTAAATGGCCTTGGAACTGATAATAACTGCACAAACTTGTATCGGAAGCAATTTAGTAATTTTTATATTATAATGCTCCATAAAATATGTTTTATGCAACTAGGCAAAAACTCCCCAGGCCTCTTCACTTATCTGAAAATCCAACTCTCTTCCTCCAGTGGCTTTTATCTTCTCAGATATTTACATATCAATTACATTGCATAATTAATTGTGACATGTTGTAGGTCCTTCAATAAATGTTCCACTGTAGCTACTCAATTGATTTTTTTATTTAAGGTTTGCTCAGCATGCAACATTTCATAGACCATAACTCCACATGGGATTGTCATGGACTATGCAAAACCTTTTTATGTAGAATACTGGCATGTTTTTCAACACCTCTGCCAAAAGCAAAACTTACCAAGTCAATTTATGAATGTGGATGTGACTGTATTATTTGTACACCACTTTGGATATATATACACACGATACGGAACTAAGAGTTTGAAACTCTGGTTTTAGGCCAGAAATCAAACATTTTATAAATCTCCATCAACCTTTAGAAATCAAGGGAAAAAAAACCAAAAAGCAAACAGAAAGAACTGCAGTTAATCTCCCTACTCTCGTTCCATCTGGTTGATCTGCACACGAGTTTCATTTAGTTTGTCCTCCAGGTCTTGAAGTTCACATTTTGGTTTGCAGGCCAAATCTCTCAGCTGTAGCTCTCCTTCAGTTGAATCCTACCAGGAAATGAAGTCACACTGTCTGAATGTTCTACGTTATAGATTCCCTCAGTAAAGTACTAGAGCATTATGGGCAGATGTATTTCTAAATATTTCAGCAACAACCATTTCTAAAGAAACTGAGAACAAAAGCTATTGCATTCTCTCTGAGACATAAGCAATACCTTTCAGGCACACCAAAGAAAGACTCAATTATATAAAATAAAATATTCATTTATTTTATACCTCATGGCAGGAATTATGGAAGGTCAGCATATGCAGATTTACTTCCCGAATCATCAGAACAAAGCATTTTGCAGATGTGTTGCACAGTTGTTCTTTTTCAGTTAGTCACCTTCTGATTGACTAAATCACCAACTCAAGTAAACTTTTTGGGAATTCATGTGTACAAAACAACAGAAAAAGTTATCAGAACACAGAAGGCAAGTATTATCTTTCCAGAAAGCACACTACTATACATGTAGCTGCCTTTACTGGAATTAAATAAGTAACTGTGCAACAGGCTTTTCTTTAAATTTTGAATGTCACATGCAATTACGAATCTGTAACTGGTATGCCTGGTGTAGTATCATTTAATAACTTTGTTATTTTATATTTTGCGGGGGTTTTGGCAGACCACCACTCCTGCTTTATACTAGACACCACAACTCTTAAGGGGTATCACTTTTTATTTGTCCTGTTTTAATTTTTAAAATAAAAATGTTAATAAATTCAATAACTTTAAGTAAGAAAGCCTCTGCAGGTATAAATCCACATAGTTCTAGTCTCTTAAAGTAAGTTTCTTACACACCTGAGTAGGCTTGTCACTTCCTGAACCAGCACAGCATATGCTTGGCAGGAGACAGCTTTTTAGTTTTGCTGCACATTCTTCTAAGAAAACACATACATTAAGAAATGGTGAGAACACTTACAGAAAAAGCCAGACTTGGAAAAAATGCCACATGTGAAACGTGTTAGTAATTAGACAAGGCACCAATTTACCTCCTTGAGATGTTTCATTTAGAATTGAGAAGAGCTGATTTTGAATTGCACTGTTCAGTTTTAATAATTCACAGCATCTGCTCAGATTTTCATCAGCAGAATTCATCTGTAAATTAATGTGCATTATTACATCTGTGTGGGCTTTCTTACTTATAGTTATTCCTCTTACAATCATGGCATTTTCCCCCCACAAATAATTACATCTTCCCAACCTTTTCTTACTGGATCCATTAGAATACTCACTGTTCAATGCTCATTTCTAATAGGCAAATGAGCAATACATAAGGACTTCTATGACTCAGTTCATTCACTATTTGAGAAAACGTACTCCTTTTCCATCATAAACAGGATGCAACCACAAGTTGAAGTTGAGTTAAAATCTTTCAACAGTTATTAAAATAATAATCTAGCATATTTTTGGACTTAAAAACTAGTCCAAAATCTGGTTTTCCATAAGAAATAATACATATAAGGTTCTTATATTGCTTTGTCAGCAGTCACATGAAGCCTCCATGCAATTTTACCTGATTTTTAAGTTAGAAACTGAAACATATACTACTGAAGGAGCAAAATACAGCATTATACCTAGGAAACAGCAAAACTACATCACTTTCAGCAAATGCCATTTTGAAAAGGAGTTGATGGGGTTAATCTGTCCAGGATACTACTGCACCTGCCAGAAAAATACATACTTTGTACCTGTTTCCCTTATCTTTACCTGTAACCTGCGTTATCACTGTCCACATAGATCACCCTCTAGGTGAAAACCCATATGGTTTTTACAAGCTTCCAAAACAGCTGAAATTCCCGCCCATACCTCCATCAGCTTGTGTTGTTTTGATTGCTGCAACATGCTTTCCTCAGACCTTGGGGAGCACAGTAAACCTGCTCACCTTCACAAGAACCCATCTGCAAAGTGTGTTTTTCCAGCTCATTACAGCAACATAACACGGTATTTCCATCTGGTAGCTCCTCTTTTTCTGCAACAGCAGCCTGAAACTGTTCATCTTCCCAAGACCTGAAATACTATTCCCAACCAACTCATGATGGAGAGGTCAGCTCCCACTGCTGCTCAGCCCTCCTAAGGTCTACCTCCAACAACCATTTGCAAGATTTTGAAATGCACGGTGCTGTTCCTTCTCTGGCTTCCTCTCTGGTAGTTTTACCAGCAACTCCCAAACTCGTTAAAACTGTCCATTGCCGTGAATCTCGCAGAGTTACACTGGCTATGTAACTGTAACTCCTATTCAACCATGAAGTAAAAGAAAAAAACTCTTTTCCCCGGAAAACACTGCATCTCTTTTCTCACCAACCACAGCAGACAGTAAGTGGTTACAGGCTCATGACCAACTATCTGCATCCGGAAGGTACAGAAATCTGGGGATGCAGGAGTGAAAACTGTCAAAATTTATTTTTTTTTCCACGGAGCAAAGTCTCATCTTTCCCAAATTTTACGCCTTCTCTACTGCTTCAACCGTTTCACCTCCTCAGTTTTCTGTTACTCCTTCACGGATCCCACCACACCCGTCTGCAGCCTTCCCCTGATAACGGCAGCTCCCCTCACGCCCGCTCCTGAGCCCTTCGGCGGCCGTGCCGCCTTGCTGCAGCCTTTCACTCAACAGGTTTCCCACCCCGAGGAGCTGGATGCTGGATAACCTGTTCTGGCTTTCAGCAGCCTTCCTCCTCACGTTCTCCTGACAGCCCCTGGCCCACAGCCGATTCCTTCGGAGCACAACGGCACCCGTCCTTCCACCTATCGGTCTTCAACGCTCTCTTCTAAGCACACCCAGTACCGATCAAACCTCACTTTTAAATTCCGACCCTTGTTTTCAGGGAACCTTGTCACGGACAAACAGCCAAATAACCGAAGTTGTGGGCGCTTAACAGTAATTAAAACTGCGCTAACTGGAGGCGCGCGCCGGGCAGGGTCCCATACCGGCCTGTGCAACGCCGAGCGGGCGCCTCCGGCCCCGAGGAGCGACAGGACTCACCTCGTAGTTCTGCTGCCAGCTCTCCAGCTTCTCGTGCATCTCCCGGGCACTTCCCCCGCCCACCAGACTCTTTAAGTCCTTGGCCATGGCTAGATGTCAGTTCGCTCCGCTGTCCCTCGGGGAGTGCTCTTCAGGCGGCGCAGGTGTAACGGAGGTGGTAATGCCAGCCCGGTCCCTTTCCCTGGGCTGGGCCGCGTCCGAGGGTCTCCGCAGCCGCGGTGGTGTGGGAGCGGCCGGCGCGGCGATGGCGGTGCCACGGTAATGGGGGAGCGGCGCGAGAACGGCCCGCGGCCGCCCGGTGGCACCGGTGGGCGCGAGCCGCAGGCACCCGGCCCGCGAGCGGCCGCAGGGGGCGCGCGCGGCCCCCGCGCAGCGGCGGCGGCGCGAAAAGATGGCGGCGGCCGCTCCCGAGCAGGTCCGTTCGCAACGGGACGCGGGCACGGGGAGGCAGCGGCGCCGTCCCCGCCGGGGCCAGGGGGGAGCGGGACCGCGGGGAGCAGGCGCGGGGGTGCTGCAAGCGGAAGGGACGCTCGGACGGGGGCGCCATTTTCGCGACGGTGGGCGAGGCTGGTGCGGTGCCGAAGCGCTCCGGCTGGGGAGGGGAGAAACGGCGGTCGGGCGGCGCTTGCCGCCTTGTGCCCGGCAGTGTCTCTCCTCCGGGGAGAGGCGGCCCGAGCCTGCCGTCCGGGCGGGGCGGCCTGCAGCGGCGCCGTCCGGCCCGCAGGCGCGGGGCTGTGGCACAGGAATCCTTGGCGCGCCGGGAGCGAGGCGCCTGGCGTTGGCGCGCTGGCGCTTGGCGCTGGCCGGGGGCCAGACGCAGCCGCGGGTGCCTGCGGGGCCCGCAGCTTGTGTGAGTTCTGCAGGGTCACGCTGCGCCCAGAACATCTCCGAGGGAGCCAAGCCTCCACAAACTCGTCCGGGTCAAGCACCTTTCTCAACACCATCTCTTATAGTTCTTCAGCAGCGGAAGAAAACGCGGTGTTGTTACTCGTTATATCAGTGTAGATATGTGCGAGTGCAGTTACTTCAGGTGTAGCTTTAGGATTCGTTTGAAGTGAACAAACTTAATTCCATCCAAAAGATCAAGCTCCTTTGAAAACGTGAATCACTAAATAACAAACTGTTCCGTTCAAGGGAAGTAGAACAAATTTTTGGACAGCTACGAAAATACTTTAAACGTTAATTTCACTATGAATATGTACAAGAGTTTCCTCTGTTAATTTGTTACATTGACAGGATATCCCTTACAATTTCATAACTTCAGATTATTACCTGAAAGCTATGCTGACCAAGTTCCCCGTGCCAGGTTTGAAGCCTCACAGTATCTTTCTCAATGCTGTATGCAAGCAGCAAGAGTTGAATGCAAACCCTGCGCTGTCAAACTAATTTAAAAACTGTATCCACCACACTTTTTTTGAATAGTCACTGAGAGTCCATCACATATGAGCATGGAGGGAACTAAAATCATGTGTATTGGCAGATGACCTACAGGATTATGTCCTGTATCATCCCTGAGAGGTAAAAACTTGATTAATTTCTTGGTAGCTTGTTTTAGTTTTTTAACTGTAATAATGTCATTAATAATTCGTATCTGCCATGATTAAAATTATATATTAAGCCATATATTGTCTGAAAGTATCTGTATTTTAAATTTAGTGATTGTCCTAGCAGAGGTTGCTGTGGTTCTAAGTGTATTCTGATAGCTGGGTGTCAGACTTAAATTAAATACTGAACATAATATCTAATATATTCCACTAGTCAATTTACATTTTTTGCATACATATATGTGCGCCATTGTAGGTAATTTACATGCCTTTTAAAGCTAACCCATGCCTTGTGTTACAGCAAAGCTCTAACGGCCCGGTGAAGAAGTCTATGCGAGAGAAGGCTGTGGAACGCAGGAATGTTAATAAGGAGCACAACAGTAACTTCAAAGCAGGATACATTCCAATTGATGAAGACCGTCTCCATAAGACAGGCTTACGTGGCAGGAAAGGCAACTTGGCCATATGTGTGATTGTTGTTCTTTTTATTTTGGCTGTCATCAATCTGATTGTGAGTATAATAGCTATAGTGTAAGCAGCATTAGGTCATATTTCATTCTGACAGTTCAGTAAAAAAAAAGTTTCCAGTATGGCTGAGGACTTAACACATACTGAAGGAGATTCTCATTTTTCTGCATTCTTTTTAGTTCTTTTGTAGTCTGAGCAAGGTTAAGAAGAATGATGTAAGCTCAGGCATGATTATTTTGGTTATCATGGTCATCCCATGAGAAGTGTTACTCGTACATAGGCATTCGGGATATATGGCATATAAAACATGGTTATATTTTAATATTTTACGTTACAGAGCTGTATGTGAACATTCAGAATTAACCAGCCACTGCAATTTAAAGCTTCATTGTTCTAATAACCACATTTTTATTACTTGGTCAATGAGAAATAATAAATTATTTTTCATAATTGCACATCCATCTGTGAGGATGCATTCTTGCAGTTCAACGTTAAGTATATACCAAGCTGAACTGTTCAGGAAATTTGTTTAAGTAATTATTACCCTTAAGTAGAAAAAAGATATAACCATGGATGTGATTTAATATTTCATATATATATAAGTCATTTCAGTTACTGTTTCAAGTATGTCTAAAAATAATTTAAAATGCTTTTCATAATTAAATGTGTTATGATGTTTTCAGTAGGAACAAACTAAAGTCAACTCACACTTAAAGCTCACTTAAACACTGGCATTAATAATTGTTCAAATAAAATATCTAATTTATACAATAATTGTGGTAGAAAGATCCAAACAACCACCATAATCCTTGAAAATGTGTTTCTCTTTCAGATTACCCTGGTTATCTGGGCAGTGATAAGAATTGGTCCCAATGGTTGTGACAGTATGGAATTCCATGAGAGTGGCTTGCTGCGGTTTAAGCAGGTGTCTGACATGGGTGTTATACATCCCTTATATAAAAGCACTGTAGGAGGGAGACGAAATGAAGACTTGGTGATCACTGGGAATAATCAGCCTGTAAGTTATACCATGAATTGACAGTTTGTGAGCGACACTTCAGAATTACACTCACATTGCTAATAAATGTTACATTTGAAGCATCATTAAGTTCATGTCTTTGTTTCTGAAGATTGTATTTCAGCAAGGAACAACCAAGCTTAGTGTAGAAAAAGACAAAACTTCTATTACCAGCGATATTGGAATGGAATTTGTTGACCCACGAACACAAAATACTTTGTTCAGCACCGACTATGAAACTCATGAGTTTCATCTGCCAAATGGAGTTAAAATCTTGAATGTACAAAAGGCCTCTACAGAGAGGGTATGTTTCTTGTATTTTGTAAGTAATGAGAATACAGCCCATCGTTTGTCTAACAGTAGAGTAGGGTTAGTGGTATAGAGGATTGAGTGTGCCTTTGGAAGCAGTGAGCAATCCTGTTGCTTAAAAAACACCCTCAACTATAAATACATAGGAGGAACAGATTAAGTGAAAACAGAGGGGTAAATTTACATAATCTGTTTTAACAGGAAGCCTGTATTTGGTACCAGGGTTAGCTGTGTATCCCATTAAAATTTTCATATGAATTGTTATCTTTATACAAAAAATTAATTTTACATACCTTCTAAAATTCAGTAATCCTATTTTGAAATTGAACATGGAAAATAACAAATATGCAGAAGCTGCAGAAGTAGGAGGAGGGAAAAAAGTACTTTCAAGTTTTTTATTAAATTGCTCAGCACTACTTTTAGGGTAATTAAAGTTACTCAAACACTAGTGGCACATTTTTACTAATCTGTAATACAGTTTTTTTGGTTGTGTTCTTAGATTACCAGCAATGCAACCAGTGATCTGAACATAAAGGTTGATGGTCGTGCCATTGTCCGGGGAAATGAAGGTGTTTTCATCACAGGGAAGACAATTGAGTTTCGAATGGGTGGAAATATGGAACTTAAAGCAGTAAGTATTTCAAATTAAAGGATTTTTTTTTAACAGCTTAGTTTCAAATTTAGGTTGATAGTAAACTGATGTAGTTTTATGTAGTTTCAATTTTATATAAATTACTCATGCAGTATATTTAGTAGGATTTAAACAGATTATTTATTACTTTGCTGTTAAGTAGTGTTTGAGTAGCTTCAGGTAACATTGATTTACTACTGTTAAAATACCAAAAACCTACTATGCAGTTAAAGCTAAGCTATTGGCCTCTCTACTGACATGAATACCAAAAGGAGTTTATTTCCTCTGGAAGCTTAACCAGGATTGACAACCTTTGCCAGAAGAGCAGAGCATATAGTTTGGAGTATTACCTTCTGTGGTGCTGCTGTAAGACTCACTAGCACTGCTTTAACATTTTTGGAGATTAAGATGGCAGTATATATGGAATGATGGAAAAGAAGGATAAAAATAGAGGTATATGCACTTTCAAGTGTGAATGAATTTCATGTATGAATTCAATTTCAGTTTCATGTCCATGTTTTACACTTACTGCAATTGCTAGTAAGAATGTAAAGGGAAAAGTCACCCTACTGCTGTCTTTCTCTATATCGATCCACCACTGGAATAGCAAAGTACATCACTGACTAGAAATCCATAGGCATCGCTATAATTTTCATTAAAAAATTAAACATTTGTATACATACCTTTTTTATTATTGTTGATTCTACAGCCATCCAAGAAATGTTATTTATCCATTAAACCAGCTCGTCCTTCTCAGAAACATTTACATTAGAGGTTGTAGTTCTATAACTTCTTTTTGTTTTTTTCTCCTTAATAGGAAAACAGCATCATCCTGAATGGAACAGTGATGGTCAGCCCGTCACGACTGCCGAGTTCTTCTTACGGGGAGCAGTTCAATAACGGCAACTGGCTGCGCTTCAAGCTGTGCATGTGTGCGGACGGGACGCTGTTCAAGCTCCAGGTGACCGGGCAGAACATGGGCTGTCAGACCCCCGTCAACCCGTGCGGGGCCACGCACTAACACAAACTGCCACAGGGACGGCCCTCGTTTGTGTTTACATCGATTTGTATGAAGTAACTGCATGCCTTCCAGGGTTTCTTTTTTTACAGCAGTTTA